GAAACTGGTTAGGTCACGCCTCTGCTAGGCATTCTACGACTTACGAGTGATATTCTGGGGCTTCTTTTTCGCTGCGGCACACAGTCCGTGCCAGAATTAGGAGACCCCGCGGGGGTCTGTCTTCTTTTCTGTAGACCTGAACAACGGAGCCCCCGTCCCTGTAGCAGGAGGAGCAGAGCCTTCCGGAGGGTCCTTGGCCTGCAGCCCCCAGAGCCTGACCTCGTCCTCTGGCTTCTACACGCACAACGCCTACGACAGCTGCAACGGGCACTCCCCGCCAGGCGCTACCAGCCGCCACTTCAGCCCCGATTCGGCAACGTCAGGTTTCTCAGGATCCGTCTTCTCCAGCTCAGCCATGTCGGGCATCTCGAACCAGCGGGAGCGTGGAGGGCTGCTCTCCCCCAGCAGTGAGTATCCGTGCCTGCTCCCAGGAGGCAAGGTGGCAGAGGAGAGACTTAATCTCCCAAAGTGATGAAAGAACCTTCCGTCCTGGTGCCTGCAGTTGGCCTCTCCCCTTAGCGGGCGTTCCTGTCCGTCAACTGGAGCAGCCGAACGAGCCACTTGTACATGATGCAGCCGGATTCCTTGGCCCTACCAGCGATTGATTGGGGAGAGGCAAGGGTGAAGCAGTAGAGCATGCAGAGATGCGGCAGGCAGCCTCCTCTCTCTCTCTAAGCACTCTTATCATAGGGACTTCCATTTCTTAATTTGTTTCTCAGGGGTAGTTAGGCTAATAATTGTCCTAGTGGATAATTCCTACAAATAAATTACCTGAAAATTACAAGCTGTCATGTGATCCATAGGGGACACCTCTCGTTCGCCTCCCGCCCTTCCTTTAATACCGGAAGTGAATTTTCAATGTTGTTCCTGCTTCCATTCCCACTGTGCAAAAGCAAAAGGACACCGTCCCTCCCTGGCTTGGGCCTTTGAGGTGGACACCCCCCCCCCATCTCCTGCTCCTTCCTCTGCTGGAGTTCGGGATCGTGCATTACCCCCTTGGGTTCTTTTAGCTCCTGACCTTTCCCCAGATAAAAGGGAAATTTGAAAGCAAATAGCGAGAAAGTTCTATCAGCCGGCAGATGTAGGCATCTGTTGCAGCTGGGACTCTTGGGGGGAAATGACCAAAAGGAGGAAGTTGTCTGAAGTGCATGAGGGGAGAGGGGCAGGCAACGAGCTGCCTAGAGAGAGAGAGCCTGTCTACTGTCACAGCCTGGGGATCATAGAATGTTCGAGTGGGAAGGGACCTTGCAGGTCATCCAGTCCAACCCCCTGCACTCTGCAGCAGCATAGCCGAAAGAGAGCCCTACAGCATACCCGAAAGATGGTCATCCAGCCTCCGCTTGAAAACGCCCAGCGAAGGAGCATCCACCACCTCCCGAGGCAGACTGTTCCACCGCTCAACCACTCTCACAGTTAGGAAGTTTTTCCTGATATTTAGCCAGTAATGACTCGTCATTTCCACCCATTAGACCTAGTCTTGCAATCCGGAGCAAGAGAGAATCGATCTGCTCCATCTTCCACATGACAGCCTTTCAGATACTTGAAGACTGCCATCATGTCCCCTCTAAGCCTTCTCTTTCCCAGACTAAACAGACCCAACTCTTTCAGCCTTTCCTCATAAGACTTGGATTCCAATCCTCTCACCATCCTGGTTGCCCTCTTC